ATCTAAAATATAACAGGACAGTGGAGGAAACTCTCGACCGTCTGTTTACTCGGTTTTCTGTTTGACGTTTATTCAGCTGTGTAAAAACCACCCGGGGGATTAATAAAGTTTTATTTTATCTAATCTAATAACTTTAATCTCTTTATTTACTCACGAACAAACAAAACACTGAAAAAAGCCCAACAATAACATTTTTAGGTTGTCTAAGTGACTTATATATCACGTTTAACCCGAGCAGCGAAAGTCCGCGGTGATCTGAACATGATGTGCCGGGAGTTGTGCCGTTCTCGGCCGCATCAGTAACCCTCGAGCTCCCGGCTAGCTATCAAGCTGGTGGGTAGCAGACGCCTCTGAAAACGTCGAAGCACTTTGGCAAATATGGGATATCTTGATAAACCGAGCAGATATTTGATGTTTACACAACTACTTTCTCACCTGAAAATATGTTAAATCTTTACTTTGTGACCCAGAAATATTAGTATGAGTAATTTTAAAACTTAGTACCGGCCGCCATTGTTGGAAACTGGAGTTTGGCTGGGCCGTGCTATGAATTCTGGGATATGGTGGACCACGAAGGACACACCCGACCCATCCTTCTAATTCGGGGAAAAGGAGGACGCATTTGTCGGCCGCATTCGGAGGAGTCTACGAATGTGGACAGCCTTCAGCGCGTCGCTGTGACGTAATCGGTCTACAAATGCATCCTCAGGAGGATGCAGCCCATGAATTTGGACACGCCCTCAGTCTTCCTGTTAGCGCGCCTGTCATGTCTGTTGGTCACATGATCAGTAACTGGAGGTTCCCGTATCGATGCATCAAAGAGTTCACTCATCTTTGCTTTGGTCAGCACAGAAGCAGCTTAACATTATTAAAGGCACTAATGTGCACGTCTCCATCAGCCTTCAGGGCCACAGGAGGAAACACCACAACGGGCTAATGTTCACAGCTGTGCACGCTCAGTGGGCTGTCTGTGCTGCTGGAGCCTTTTGGGACATTTCAATAACATTATCTGACCAATGACACGGCTCCTATGAAGTTACTGTAACAGACCGTCCAGGAAGTCTGAGCATGCTGACTGTGCTAGCTAGCTAGCATTAGCTGATAACTAATTTAGATGCAGTCACCTGACCCAAACCCAACATGGCGGCTGCTAAAATGCCAACAACAAGATAATGTGGAAACCAGTGAGCGAAGTCACGGTGGGTATAGCCATCTTTTTATACAGGCTATGGCTTCCATGTCAAAGAAAGTCGGAGATCCAGCACACAAACGTTTACCTGTGACTCCAGTGACTCCTCCCATCCAGTAACTTCCAAAGCTGAGTTACTGCTCAGGTGAGGCAGGAAACATGCAAATGTTTGATTTGCAAACGAGCTGATTTTCAGCTCCGTCTGTCAGCCGGCACCACCTGCTTCACAGGTGTGTCTCAGAAGGCTGCTCCTCCCAGAGTCAGGGATGCTTAATGTGTCCCACAAACAGGCATCCAGAAAGCTCATGCAAATATGGCTACAACCAATCAGCAACCAGATCTGACAGGAGGAGATAAAAACGAACATCAAGCCGACAGAACGGCAAACGTTTGGTTTGAAGTAAAGAAAAGAGTGTTTGTCGTCTTCTGCTCAGGCAAATGATGAGAAATGAAAGTGACGCCTGTTCAGCATAAATCCATAAAAACCACCATCATGAGCAGGCAACCACATGGCATACAGCGGGACAGCAGCCGGCCGGGGTCCGACCTGCGGCCCGTCGACCGGCAGCCCTTTGCCTCATGTCTCCCTCTCCGCTCCATCTACAGCGTCTGTGTCCAATAAAGTCCAGAAAATGAATAAATCTCTGCACAGCCCAACACGACGTCACGTTAACCTCACAGATGACTTTAGAATGAGACGTGAGAGAGAAGCTGAGCAAAGCTTTTAAAAATCCCACCCCCGCCAAGATGTGGACTGGAGGTCAGAGCTGCGGGTGGACTGTGGCGGTGCTAACGTGTAAACGTAGGCGTGGACAGAGAAACTACGGGGCCCTCTCCAGCTGGACCGAGACCAGCGGCTCGAAGCCAGAGCTCCTGGAGCCCAGTCAGCCTGTGACACCAGGATCATTTATTTCTACTCTGAGTTTCAAAACACCTCCAACTGCAAAGAACCGCGGTTTGTACTTTACTGTCAGGTTAAATGTCCCAGAAGAGCGCTTTTCTTCAATCTACAGCCACTCCTGAGGTGGAGCAGCCTCAGTGACATCATGAGGGGGAGGAGCTGGAGTGCAAGTGGGTTGTAAAAGAGCTTGCAGAGACGTGTTTGAATGCTACGAGTTTTTTCAGGAATAAACAGAGTCTGACAGCAGGGTTTGTCTTTGGTCTCCACGTGTACCTGGCTCGCTGCTGTTGTCGCCGCTGTGAGACGCGAGTCCTCCGCTGGCCGGTCCCGGCGTCCCAGCCGACCTGATCGATGCCGAGTCGTTGTGATCTGTGCTCCACGAAACCTGCTGAAACAAAAATGGTAAATGGCCTGTATTTGTGTAGCGCTTTACTAACTTACTTAGTCCCTAAGGACCCCAAAGCGCTTCACACAACCAGTCATCCACACATTCACACACTGGTGATGGCAGCTACGTTGTAGCCACAGCCACCCTGGGGCGCACTGACAGAGGCCAGGCTGCCGGACACTGGCGCCACCGGGCCCTCTGACCACCACCAGTAGGCAACGGGGGAAGAGACTGTCGGAGCCGGGGCTCGAACCGGCAACCTCCCGATTACAAGACGAACCGCCCACTCTTGAGCCACGATCGCCCCTAACAACAAACATTTATCAGGTCTGTTTCCAACTGGATCCGACGCTCCCGCAAACGCCTTCACCTCTGCCAGCGATGCTAGCGTCCGGTCTGGAAAGATGAGCAGCTTCCATTAGTAGCTGCTGCTTTAACACGCACTCATCGTGATTAAGATATTTCACGCCGTCAGGTTTGTGCGAGGGTTTAAGACTCAGAGTAACGGGAAGCCTGGACTATTTATACACACAGAGGACTGAACACAGAGAAGAAAACCAGCAAAAACTATTCAAGTGAAACCTTAAAAAAGGCTGAAACATGGAAGTACTAAAACATACTAAACATGAACATGACTCTGGGAAACAGGAAGGATCAAACAGTCCTGTTATGCGTCCATAACAGGACGTACAGGAGCGTTTCTGACTCCACCCTAAACTCTACATGAGCTACAACAAAATCAGAGAAGACGATGTATTTTGTGCCTCACGAGTTGAGTGAGCTCACCCGATCCACGAGGTTCCCCGACGACCTGACAAAGTCCTCGCCGTCTGACTTGTTTCCGTCTCTGTTGTCTATAACCAGGTCGATCGGCATTTTGCCTTTCAGACAGCTGATGTATCGATGGCAGAAGTTATCGCAGAGCTCGTGAACCTGGAAATAAGATGCAGAGGCGGGCCTGACGTGGAGATGCTTTCACCACCAAAGAACCACAATAAGCAAACAAAATCGGTAAAGTTGAAATCAAACACAGTGACGACGGCGCCGTGCTCAGGATTAAGCCGGGATTAGCGGCACGCTGTAATCGCAGCAGATGTTGGTTAGTTGGACTGACCTTCTCCAGCTCCAGGAGGTGGAAACGCAGCACCTGGATCGCCTGAATCATCTGTGAGAAACACAAATCCATAAATGCACACATACAGAACATACACACTGCACCGCTGCTCTCCTGTACTGTCAGATACATGACATGAAATCCCAGATGTTCCAGCATGATCCCATTACCTTTGAAGTGCTGGTATTCCCCCCGGGACTACATGACTGGGCTTCATAGAAGCTCAGAGGCCAGTTAGGCTGAGAGTGTGCTACCTGCAGCTACCTCTTTAAATGACTCACCAAGTTATCGAGCTCTGGGTTGGATGAAAACAGCGGCTTCTCCGAGCGGATCTGCACACACAGACAAACGAGGATGATTATGGGAAACCTGCAGAGCGCATCCCGGTGATGTACGCTCATCACGTTTGGCTTAAAGCGCTCTGAAGTGTTTAAAAGTCCTGTTTTGTCTCCAGAGACTGAAAAGTCACAGCAGGTGGGATGAATGAGGCTTTCTCAGGTGGCAGAAGCTAAAGCTTCAGCCACACTGCTGCTGGAGCTTTAGCTTCTTCTCCACGAACCCTCCACCCTGATGGGCAGGGCCCGCCTCAGACATGAACTACCGCTTCCTGTTCACCTGTTTGGAGAAGACGGCGATGTCCTCGCTGAAGGAGTCGGAGGAGCAGACGTCTCCCCCGGCCACGGCGCTCTCCCTCGGCGTGCAGGTTGCCAGTTCACATTTCTCAAAGATGAGTGCGAGCAGCGGGAATAAAGGATGTCTGCAGGAGGAACAGAGGAGGAGGAGGTCAGACGGAGCTCCAACACGTTTCCTGCTGCTGAAACTCTATCCGACAAATCTGTCACACACTGCTGTGCACGGTTTCACTTTAAACGTGTCTTCTTCACAGGAAGTTAGTCCATTTTTTTCCTTCCAGTCTTCAAGCTCAACGCGACTCTTTCATCTCGTTCTTCGGCTTTTTCCAGAATCCCTGTGAGCTCGCTTCGGCTGCAGGAAGCAGACCGAGGAGGCTGCCTGTAGGAGCTGCTCGGCCTTCTTCAGACTTTCTATGTCTTTGTGTTTGCTTACGCTGCACTCAGGAATACCATGGCCTCTTTAGCAGAGCACACTGAAGACTTTACAGCAGTGCAGCCTCGCTGTGTGGAGGAGGCATGAATCTGTGTGTGACTGAATCTCCCACAGGAGTAAAACAAGGAGCTCAAACAGCAGAGGAGGAGTGAGACTTTGAAAAAGGGACTGAACAATGTCGACGCAAACCGCTCATCCATCAGCAGAGGGCACATTTGAAGATTTTAATGATAACTTCTAAAGTTCTCTGCTCTCGCAGTGCTAGCATGTAGCTCGCTACAGAAGAGGAGCCAGCACAAAGGGAGTCACGGCTTTTAGGTGGCAGGAAAACTCACACAAGGAA